TTGAAAACTTGAAACTTTCAGTCGTCTTGAAATATTGAAAAATATACCTAATATTTTAATTTTTTTTTTTTTGTTCTCGGTATGTTTTACAAAATCATCACTAGATGGTCACACTGATTTCATACCCAATTATCGGTTCACGATTATGTTTTTCTTTGACGTTCATAAATTATAATGATAACACTAATATACTGTAATATTTATATATTATAAATTACAATTAAACTATTATACCAAGGATTTAATAGATTGAACATTTTTATTTCATTTAATTTTGAATATGAATACTATATAATATAAGGTTTTAACTCATAGATTATAACATTAGGGACTCCAGTTATAATTATAACTAATTAGTAATATTATAAAATATTAAATGAACATGAATTAATAGACATTGATGCAGGTAATTCATGTGTTTTGAAACATTTTAAAGTTATTTAATTTTATTTGTATAATGCACTATAGGTATGTAAGAAATATTTCAATAACATTTCTACTCTAGATTTAAAATAAATTTTTTTTATTCTTTTTCGTAGAAATAAATTTCATGAATTTTTAGAACCCTATATATTATAATCATTAAACGGGGTGATTCACCGGTGGTGCATTCGCTCAMCCCCGATTTCACTTTTTAGTCTTTTTACTCTTTGATAAAAAAAATAATGGGAATAAAGGCTGCGCGGATATCGTCGCATATCTTGAATCTTTCCTTGAGYAGGGTATAATATTATACTGCAGTTCCAATATTAATTATTTTTGCCAAGTCTTTAAGGTTTTAAATTATTTTACCTACGATTTTTAAGAGCAATTTTTGAGGATTTTTTTGAATTTTATTGCCTTTTCGTCAAATTCACTCATATTAATTATTAAAAAACGATTTTTAGTTTGTTTTTCAATTTCGTTCACATGATTTCAATTTGGATTTTGTTTGCTCCGAATCAAAGAACGCTCGAAAGACAGAATAAAAAATAAATTTTATCAAATATTTATTCGAAGTATACTGAAGCAGTGAACTGAAAAACGAAATTATKAATTAGATAGTAACGATGAAAAAACATATTTTACAACAAAACGTTATTATTTTTAAATGCGATTTTATATTTTTTAAATACTACTTCACTAGTCTATTATACCTACTATCAGAACTTTCATGCCTTATTGCCTTAAACACTTAAATACTTACATAAGGACCAAATTATTTTCGAATTCTCAAACATTTTTT